GAACTTGCAAGATGCAGAAGAGGCTTAGAATGTTTTTTTAATAACATTTTTCTATCAAATTAAACCATTATATCTAGAATGAATTGTCTTTATAAACCCAATTTTATATAAGCATTCCTACAGGTTTTGCTAAAATAACCAATGAAGAATTTTCTATATAAACTGAAAATATGTATCAGGCTAATGCTTGAAAATCCATACATATTTTCGTAAAATATTAGATATTTCATCAAAATATAAAATTGATATTTAAAAATCCTTCCTCCTGTATTTTCTAAATACATATTTGGAAAAAATATCGCAAAAATATATGAATTATGCACGGTGACTTCGAAGTTGAGTCATTTATTTTAACAGTGAGTAGATCTGATCAAAAGAAACGTTTTTTTCCTTTACCATTTTTCTGGTAAAATTAAAGTAACATAGTTATAGCCCTTTGGAAGTTTGAGTACCGCCCTGTCTCAATAATAATATTATGTGCTCGTGTTTGGCAACAGCGGATATAATCCGCCTTATCGGTTCATCGCATCGGAAACAAAAAAGCGAAAGAATTTGGAACGATGTTTTTACAATTATTTTATTCAGTTGTATACAGTCAGTGTCAGTCGGTAACGCGTGAGTGAATAGTGGTGTCTGTTGCGTGGCTCAAACGAAATCAAAAATGGCACATGTTTACGAAAATGCTGAACTTGTGGACATGATTCTTATTTACGCGGTATCACGGATTTATGCGGATCGGTTTCCCAATCGAGTGCAACCAACCCCTCGTGCCTTTGTTAATGTAGTACAAAGGGCTCGTGAATCAGGTGCTCCAAGACCCCACGATCAAATACAGGTCCGCACTGAAATACTTGTCGGGAGGATACTTTATAAAACAAGGTAACCTTTTTTTTTTAATTTTTTTTTTAATTTTTACACACATATTTTGATTCATCTTCCTTCTACAATCATTATCTGAAAATTAATGACTCAACTTCAAAGTATGAGGCGAATATCAATATACATAATCATGATTATAGCTTGGTAATGGAACGTTTTAAAATCTTACCTCTATTTGAGAGAAGGGTATTATCTGATTTGTGCTTTATTCTCCGAATCTTAAACAATCAAATTGATTGTCTTTACGTTTTGTCTAAAATCAATATATATGTACCGCTAAGGGTAAACCAGAGGCACTGTACGTACTCCAATATCCCGTTTTGCAGAACAAATGTTGGATTAAACCCTCCGCTAATACGAATGCAAAGAAACGTCAATACCTATGGTGCATTTTCTGATATTTTTGTTTGCCAATTCTTAAACTTTAAATAGCCATTAAAGAACAGGATGTTGTCTACTCCCTTGTAAACGACGCTACTGTTCTTCAACTTTCTTCTTTGTATCCTTATTGCCAAGTTGTTTCAGATGCATTTATATCGTTTTATTACAGTGCTTGTAACTGGGTGTTCTTTGTAAGCTATGTTGTGGATGTCTTTTTTGGAGAATTTCTCTGTTTGACATCTCGAAATTCTCAAATAAATAAATATTCGGCCATCTATACCTAGTGACAAAAAAAAAAGGTAAACACCTACGTATGTCTATTAGAATTCAATATTTTTTTACATGTCGATTTATCTTGCCATGAACAGCAAGTGATGAAACGATCAGGTTTTTCTGTTAAGTTTTTTGTTGTGGCTGCTTGTATTGTTTGGTGATAAAGAAGCATTCAGTTTTCGTACATTTACGGTGTCAGTTAAATATTAAATTTCATGTACGTAGCTTATTGAGAAGCCTTCTTGTAATTGCTCAAAATGCCTAGAGTGCGTAGAATTCACCGGGTGTTCCAGCTAAGTGACTTTGAGCGAGGCCGAATTGTTGGGTTGCGTGAAGCCGGCCTATCCATAAGAGCAGTTCCTAGGAGGACCAAGAGATCCTTACGCAGTATACTGCAGTGTGAACGAGAGTGGCATTCAGGATGGGGATGCACGACGGTCGGGCAAGAGCGAGAAGGCGACGTGGTAAAAGACGTGACCCACTATTTGACAGAGAGCGTCACGTTCACAACACCGTGGGAGTTATGGTATGGGGTGCTATTGCTTCTGGTAGCAGATTACCACTAATCTTTATCAGAGGCAATATGACAGCCGATGCTGTATTCAGGAAGTAGTGAAGCCTCATCTTACTCCATACCTAAACACCATCCTAAACCCGACTTTTCAGCAATACAATGCCTGACCGTTTACGTTGGCCACCACGATCGACTGACCTATCTCCAATTGAGCATATCTGGGATATGATAGGTCGCAGGCTCTTGAATTTGCAACACCCTCCACAGACCTTAGCAGCTCTTAGTCACAAAGTTGCAGTAGCCTCGAATGAGTAGAAAACAGGATGTCGACCACCTTATCAGCACGATGCCCAGGCGTGTCAATGAGTGTATAAGAAGTCGTGGATCATCAACACATTATTGAACCAGCTTCTGCAGTCAGTTGACGAACCAAGCTGAAGATTTAATCATTTCACTAGTAAGGCACACTGAACATATATGCCAAAAATTATTAAAATCGGATAAACACACGTATGTATATATTGATGAATTTATTTTAGACTGGTCTGAATATAGACCATTATATTGTATGTTACCAAGGCAAATATTCTGTCAAATTTTGTTTCAGAAATTGTCTACATGACAGACCTGTCAAATCTACCTTTGTATTCGTAGAGTAAAATCTTATACCGTCTTTGTAAGATAAGTATGGATCACGGAAGAATGTATCCAGGTCATTTGTTCAATAAGTACATATTAACTACAGTTCTTTATTATTATATTTTATGGCAAAAAAATATTATATAATAGCTTTATAGAAGTTTCTCTTCTTTAGCAGGTCCTTGATGGAATGTTTGTCGGACTTGATGGTTCATGTACGAAGGTAGAAACCTGGAAGCATTGTGTCCATGTATTAAACCCTTCAAGATACTTAAACGAGGAATTTTAACGTGAAAATATATGCTCTTTCTTCTCACTGAGAGCTCGATGACAGTGCCACCTAGCGGATGTCAAACGAAAATATTTGTGCTAGAATCGTAGAATATAGAAATAAGCAGGTAAATAAAAAACATCTATAGTCAAAATCGCGAAAGATTATTATTACGTCATACCATAAATTGTACTGAAGTAATCAATGGACGTACATCGATGATAAAATCACGAGTCAGGATCATAATGACAACAAATTTATATTATGATTTTGGTTATTTCACTGATTATTTTTATTTTCATTTCATTTTATGCTTTTGAGTGATACCTTAATAATAATTTTAGTGGGGAGCTTTTGTTTTGAATAAAACAGTTATGAGTAGAACACTTAAGACAGGAACAGGAACGTAATCGTCATCTTTCGTGATTTCGACTATAGTCGATTTGATTTTAGGGACAATTTCAATTTCAAACTGTTCCACTACTAGTTTTCCTTCTCGTCCACCGCGTACGCGCCGATCTATTTATCCCCCCGCTATGCACTTCGATCCTGGCGGATAACATAAATTTACCTGCAGTGTTTATTGAGAACAAAAACTTATATCTTACTCTGAAGCCTTGAAGAATGCTACAACTCATCCTTGACATGAGCTTGTAAGTATGATTTGTCCAAAATCATGATCTGCTTCCAAAAGTCAGTATCGGCGTGGTCTGATTTTGACTTGACCTCGATTGTTTCGGGACCGAGTATATCGTGGTACTCCAAGCTTTTCGACGTGGGAGTCCAATCTTTATCCAAAGCTCTAGGTACTCTGTAATCATACGTGAGGTGATATTTCAGGTATCAAGGGGGGGGGGAGGAAAATAATTAAGGATGAAAAAAGGTTTAGTGGCTGAAGACGTGTCACGCTCATAATGGAAAATGTGGTAATTCTAGTTAGATATAACAGTACTAGTTGCATGTAGTTATAAGGTACGGATCTTATTTTAGGGATGCCTCTTATACTACTGGAATCTAAATAGTACATATTTAAAAGGCAAACAAACGACAAGGTAAGCCTTTTTTCAGACTAGTTATCTACAGGGTGTTACTCAAGGATAGGCCGTAATTACAAGGGCAGATTGGTAAACCAGATTCAAGTGTCAGAGAGTTTTTTTTTTCATCAAAGATTATTGTTGAATTTTGGCATTGGTGTTCGTTACAATAATAGCGGACTCACGAATAATACTGACAAAAGATGTAAGTACGCTACTGAATTTTTAAGGCAATATATATTTTTTTCGGTTTAAGCAGTTTATCATATAACTTTTCTGTCTGCATGTGTCACTTCATATCTTACTTCGTTTTCGATGGTAAAAATTAAACAACCTCTCTGTATGTCGAAAAATTGTTCATGCGAGTGTAGAATCCTGCATGAAAAAAGCAGTAGGTGGTCAGTTCCAACATTTCCTAAATGTTTTGTCAAATCGTTGTTACTTCCCGTCCCAAACATTTTAAAAATCGCTGTTGACTAAATATTGTACATCGATCAAATTTAATTAATTTTACTTTAACAGTTTTTTGACATATAATGTGTGATTCGTAAAGATGCCTGAAGGCAAAAGATTTCATTTGTTCAATTCAAAACAGTATGTTTTTGAGAAGTGAATGGCGTACATTTTTTTTCAATACTGTAGAAGGGACTGCTCCCACAGACGCCACTGGAATCCATAAATATATTCTGTTTGTGCTGACTTAGCATTTTCCTGCAATAATTAACACAGCTTAAATTCAACAAAATCTATTCAAGGAGATGTCAATAAAATATGAAAGCTTTGACACACTGTATCACGAAAATCACACTTTTGAAACACATGTTTTTATGAACTTTTCTATTTAAATTTGGTTCTGACATGCCCCTTTGTCATTAAAGCCTATCATTATATAATACTCTATACGAAATAATTATCATCAACTAGAAAATACATATCTGACTAAAAAAAATATCTAAGTTCTTACCTGCCATGAGCATACGTATATAATATATCCAGACAGACGTCTTTCATTTTGATTTCATCATCTGAAAGGGGCATGATTATGATACCACCAAAGAAGTATACCATATCATCCCCATGGCATGTTCCTGTGAAGTAAAGTTGTCACTTAATATTTTAGAGGCTTGAATATATGTTAAGGACAAAAAATGAATTCAGCTCCATTAGTACCACCGTTGATTAACATAATCCACCAGAAGAACTCAGTTCAGTTGAAAGCCGTGGCTGGTACGTGAATACGTACACTGATGCTACCAACTACTTATTCTCACAACTGTAGAGGGTGACTTGAAAGTCCCTGAATAGCTAGATAGCTAAAATGTCACCCGAAACTCACAAAGAGGTTTCACCTTTTGACAAAGTTCGAGTGCGAGTTACTTTCTTTGCTACAGTACACCTTTTTCCTGCATCCGTCTTAAAACCAAATAACCTGGTGAAAGTGACATAACAGTCTCAAAAGATCACAAGGATCACAATAATAAAATGCGAGTGTCACATGCAAGGATATGACGCATGCTAGATTCGATAACACCCCTCTTGTTCGAAATGATCTTTCAAGGATTTTTATGATAAATCAAAATCAAGAATCCGCTTCTATTTTTCCATTTCACTGATGACCTAGAAACTGAGTTTCACTAAGACCATGCTTGTCAAATCGGTGTCAGGCGATTTTCTTTCTTTATACTTTTGATCCCGTAAATAAATACAAGGGCAAATTCTGCGCCAGCGAACCTTGAGTGAAAATTACTTTATCCTTAAACGCCCTCTGCCAAGGCCACCGCTGAAAGACATTGATAATATTTTAGCGGTGCTTAGAGCTGGAAATGTTACTGTTAGGCATGTCCTTGGGCAGGAACATCCAAGGTTAAATTAATTTTCGATCAAGCTCGTATCAAATCGTACAATTTTCCGTTCTATCCATTTATGTAGTCAACAGTATAGGATCCAATTAAAAAAAACCGCCTTCTCCTTGACTTGACATTCAAGGCTATACTCAAGGTTAAATTCTAAGTCCACTGAATAATCATGGTAATATACTATTTTCTCTGTTGTTTTACCTCTCCTATATCTTTGGAATATTTTCAGATGTTTTACAGTCCTGAAACTTCGACAGATACAGGAGTATTCGTAAATGTCGACCACCGTTTTTAGGTGTCAGCGTTGCCACACACTAATAGCAACAATTATGAGGAAACTGAAATGTGATTTTTCCTGTGAAAGATGATGTGATATTTAAGAAAAGACAATTTTGTTTAAATGAAATGTAATCTGCTCCATTACCTGCAGGCTTGCTTGACAACATGACTATGACAGAAAAGGGTTAGGCATCTCCTTGGAGAATACGCAAATCAATGGCAGTGTTTGGTACTACGTGCAAATGCTTCAAATAAAATGAAACCAACAAAATACCTTGGATTTTTTCTTTAGCAAATAGCAGTTTTAATGAATTTTGCCCTTCGTAACCAAATCGATAATAGTATACTGGAGACTGGACAACCGCGCTTTGTAGCTTGATTGCTCTTTCGACTCCATATTTCATCAGAGCATCCGTACCAAGCTGAAAATTAATAAACGAGGTATCAATACCCAACAGTATGAACAATCTCCTGCTCATTTTTCCAGACATTCAAATCATCAACAATCCTTCTTGTCGGCTTATCAAGTATATTTTTGAAACTGGTCAAGATACTTCAATGATATTGGGATTATTTGTATTTCTTTAGGGCTCGTTTTTTCAATCGCAGGTTACTTCCAAGTTGGGTAAATGTGACTTGGAAGTGAGTAATCAGTTTCCCGTGAAGTCGTTTTCCAAATTCTGGACAACTGACTCGGAATTGTTGATGCGGCAATGCTGATTCTACTTTTGAGCTATAATTTTTCTGTTTTCTGTTCATTTCATCATATTTAATGTGAGGGTCTCGTCTCATCATTGAGATTGAGGTTCAACTACACCTACAGGATGTTTCTAATATCAAACGTCTAACTTTTCGGATGGTAAAAATAAACCATTTACTGTTAGTGCCAGTATATACGTAACACTTTAGATATTTTAATGAAATATAGCATACACGTTCTATGTATCAAGAGACTTCTTTTAGTGTACTTCATTTTTAGCATTATCACCGGAGTTTCACTGCATTGACTCCTATTTAAATAAATATACTGAGTGACTTACGTACCATTTTAATAAATTTTGGCATATATGTTCAGTGTCCCCTACTAGTAAAATGATTAATGTTTCAGCTTGATTCACCAACTGACTGCAGAAGATGGTTCAGTAAGCTGTTGAGGATCCAGGATTTCTTATACACACTCATTGATAAGCCTGGGTATCGTACTGATAAGGTGGTCGATATAATGTTGGGGTATCTCATTCCAGACTACTGCAGCTTCGTGAGTAAGAGCTGCTAAAGTATGTGGAAGGTGTTGCATATTCAAGAGCCTGCGACCTATCATGTCCCAGACATGTTCAATTGGAGATCGGTCAGGCGATCGTAGTTGCCAAGGTAAACGGTTGATGCGATGTTGACCCTTAAAGGCTAAAGATGATCTGGCAACATGCAGTCTGGCATTGTCTTGCTGAAATTGCGGGTTTTGGATGGTGTTTAGGTATAGAATAAGATGAGGCTCCACTACTTCCTGAAATAGCCTCATATTGACTCTGATGAAAATTATTGGTGATCGGCTACCATAAGCAAGAGCACCCAACACCATAACTCCCACGGTGTGGTGAACGTGACGCTCTCTGTCAAATTGTGGGTCACGTCTTTCACCACGTCGCCTTCTCGCTCTTGTCCGACCATCATGCATCCCCAGATAGAAGCGACGTTCGTCACTAAAGACCACCGGATTCCATTCCCCGTCCCACAGAATTCTTTCTCTACACCAGAGCAAACGGTTACCCGGATGTTCAGCTGTGAGTGGTAGCGCCCAATGTGGGCGATAAGAAAAAGGTCAAGGTGTCGTATTCGGCGATGTATACCGTACTCATACCAACCATCCTTCCATGCTCTTCAAACCACTGATTAGCAATGGCTCGGGTACTACCGAATCTGTCTCTCAGAGCCAGAAGTCTTAACCGGCGGTCTTGTCGCTCTGTGGTCCCTGAGTCCTCGCTCGTTTACACTGCAGTATACTGCGTAAGGATGTGTTGGTCCTCCTAGAAACTTCTCTTATCTATAGACCGTCTTCATGCAATTCGACCCCTCTCAACAGAAAAACGTGACCATTCTATATATATATTCTATAAATCGATATATGAAAAATTATTGAATTCTAATAAACATACGTAGTTGTTTACCTTTTGTTGTCACTCAGTATACTATTTGCAATCATTTCTAAGAATTTCTTTTCAATCCGATGCACCGTTTCCACTGAAAAAAAACCGTTTCTTGGCATGATTATAACAATGTCCTTAATCTGACAATATCACCAAGCAGATAGATTTTATTTTCTTTAGGTGGAAACCATACGTCGGACTAAAAATGTTAAAGAGATCAAATCTGCTCGTGAATGAATATAGATTTGATTTTATTTTACTTTCAGCAAGGTCAGTTTCATGCCACACTATACACTATACAGAAAACTTCACCACTCTGTAGCTCAAAAGTTAAAATGTTTATGACATAGCGCATCCCTGCTTCAAAAGTGACACAACTCAAAGAAGGCATTTTTTCACTTATGACCATTTATTTATAATAAGTATAAAATCCTGTATAGGTCAGCAAAGGTGTATTATATGTTAATAGCTTCAATAATTACTGCTAGATGGCACTGATGTCACTGTTCATGCGTCAGCCACCTTGATATTAGTCGGTACAATAATAGCGTTCGCGGGTCAAAAAATGGACCACTTCGGAACTAAAACTGAACCACCCAGAATTACAAAAATGCGCATGTCCAGTTATTTTCTAGTTCCTGATTTTCGTTTACCGCGAACGACTTTGGAACCGTTTGCGTATTCAACACTGTTGCCAATTTGCCCTCTATTTTGTACTGTTACCAAGCTGCTATTCGATTGACACTATTGACAGCTTCCACGTGTTTTCGGTACTTCAATAACTTCCAATAGTTCTTCCAAATCATCATCACTAAACGATAAATGGTCCGACATCTTGAACATAAAATCTTAAGCACTGAATCTTAAGAACTTAAGATGGAACACACAAAACGTATATATGGAACAGCAAGCACTAAAAAGTACAGGTGACAGATTTTCACAGAATAGGTTAAACACTTTAAACCCGAACAGAGGCAGCGGAAGATGAAATATCAAATGTCCATAACGATGCTAATGCGCATGATCAGCCGGATCGAACTTATAGTCTCACCAAAAATCTGAGAACCGTCAGGACCAATTCGGAATCAGTTCTGTACCAATTCGATATGATCCGCGAACGCAGAACTGTAACTAAAAATTCAAAATTTTCTTACCGCGAACGCCGATTTTTGAAGTGCGCATGCGAAGTGGTTCAGAATCAATCCCGAATCGGAATCGCGAACGAAACTAATAGTGTCGTATCGTTAGCTGTAACGCAAGCGTCGATGTGTCCACGCATTCAAAAGCGTCTTATTTTGAGTTGTGTCGTTATACGTGATTGATGCAAAGTCTTATAGGGTAAGTATTTAGATTTGATACAATTTATCTGATTGAAATCTGGGTGATAAATTAAATCATTTTGACTTTATCGACTTTAGTTGGCCAGCAGAATTACCTGTTTGTAGTATGATTTCATTCTGAGACATTTTTGGAAAATCAAGTTATAAAATGCGATCAGTCAACGTAAAGCAGTGCAGCAAATTGCGAGATAGTACTATAATCGCGAAAAAGTCCGAAACTGAGATGTAATGTATAATGTAGCTTTGTAGTTTTCTGAGATCGATCCAGTGGCGGCGGCGTTTTTGGTGAAAAACTGAGAAAATTTAAAATCGCTGCTGCACCTTTCATTTGCAGAAAACATTTACTATAGCTATTACCATTCAGCATAAAATTGATGCATTGCTGTACCGCTTTATATTAGCTGAACGCACGAAGTGTTTGCTTCTATATAGTGGTAAAGATTTAAACTTTTATTCTCAGTGATGATGGATTCTTCAAGCAAAGCAGAAAATGGCTCTGACAGCTCTAGATGACGAAAACCAAGAAATTAGTTGTGAGGGTGTGCCATTAGCAGGCCTGGAGGAACGCACTGAGGAATTGCTTGTTCCCGATTTTGAAAGCTGTCCACCCGTTCTTCAAGATTTAGCAGATTTTTCTACTAATACAGCCCAGCATGAAGAGTACGAGCCCCTTCCCACTTCAGTTGGCCCAACTATTGAAATCTTAGTTTTTTCTTATCAAACACAAATAATAAAAATGTAGCAGGGTGTTACAGGTTTAAAATATTAACAATGAATATTTTGATAATATATAGTAGAAAACACCAACTTTATTACTCCCTAATCAAATTTGCAGCATAAAAATAACACATGTTGCAATTACAGCATATAAACCTATTTTCATTTCAATGCAAAATAGGTCTATAACGCATAGGTGGCTGTGAAAGATAAAAGCCATGACATTTGGGTAGTTAAGGTTTTCAAAATGGGTAGAGGAAAGGTTATTAGTGAGAAAATTCGGTTACTGATTTTTTTAATTCTGGGAAATAAAACTCAGAAATTGCAACTTTGTTAGACTTATCGCGGTCCAGTGTGAGAAATATTGTTAGAAGATATAACGGAACTGGTTCAGTTAATATTAAGCCACGATATGTGAAAAAAAGTAATATCACAAATGCCGACCGAAGAGCATTAAGAAGAATAATCGTGAAAAACAGGCGTGCCAATTATTTACAATTAAGTGCTCTGTGGAGTGACGCTGTTGGAAGGAGAATTTCGAGGTCCACAACTCATAGAGAGGCCCACCAAACTGGGATTTAGCACTTGCAAGGTAAGTTTTCTTATAAAAAAAAGTGAAGTAAAAACCCTAAAGTTGCACAACTTGCTTATAGGCCACAGAGGAGCCACCATTAACTCCACTGCAAAAGAAAAATCGGCTTAGATGGATTAAAGAACATAGACAATGGACACCTCAACAATGGTGTGCAATACAATGGAGTGATGAGGCCCGATTCGAAGTTTGTGTTGGTGGCAGTCGCAGTAGACTTATTCGCAAAAAAATGAAGCATTCGGTGTTGACTGTCTGAAGAGAAAAGTGAAATTTCCAGCATCCATTATGGTCTGGGCAGCATGTCATCAAAAGGATTAGAAAAACTTCATTTTATTGATAAATGTGGATACAAACAAATATTTCGCAATTTTAGAAGAATCGCTTTTACCAGTGATGGAAGAATGTTTGACATCCGGCCAAGATTTTGTGTTTCAGCAAGATGGTGCAGCGTGCCATACCTCAAAAAAGGCTATAAAATCTATGGAAGAAAATAATGTACCACTTTTGAAATGGATTTCTAGCTGTTCAGATCTGTCACTTTGTGGCACGAGATGAAAAAGGTTCTACGACAACATCCTGCTCGTACAATCACCGAACTGAGACAAAACCTTCAAGAAATATGGGATTGTTTTACACCAAATTTTTGCCAAAACTTGGTTAACACTATGCCTCAAAGAATTTCAGCCGTAATAAAAAATAAAGGTGATGTTACCCAATGGTAATCTTTCAATTGTTGCTTTGTTAACTTCGCGCATTTATTCGCACATAGTTTATTTGTTCAGATGTTCCATTAGTTATAGGTCTAAGTGATTTCAAATATGTATTTTTTACGACTAGAGTGCATCTAAAATGTTTTTGAGAAAATAAATTGTTTTAGAAGTAAATAGTTTCGTCATGTTTACTTTATAAAGGCATATTTTGGTACAAATCTTGAAGTGGGCCAACTGAAGTGGGAAGGGGCTCGTATATTTACACAGTTTCATAGCAGTCAGATACGAGAGTGACTTTGACTAGGGGAGACGAAAACTGTTACTACTGCTCGCCCCTTCACAGCAATCATATCGACGTGGATGATACAGAAAACGATCAAAATTTCATGGATTGTGATGCTTCTGGTTCATCTGGCTGCTGTAGCTGTTCTGGTCCAGAAAAAAGAGAGGAAAACGAGAAAAAAGGAAACTGTATGGCGTGAAGATAAAGAAAACCAAAACCAAAAGGGGAAGAAAAGGTCACTTAACCCAGAGGAATGAGATGGCATCAAGAAGTCTTACGATGCTTATTATAGGAATATCTTAAGCCTTGCATGAGAGTGTGTACTGAATGTCTCTTGTTGTCTAGTATGAATAAAGCTTATTATAATATTCAAATGGTTGGTGGTAAGAGCAGCTTCATAGCTGATATCCTCCAGGTAAAATAAAGGCCGATTATTATTATTATTAAATTGCTCGTATATATTATTATACTTGACGCTGGAATATGGATTTTGCACATCCGTATATATGAAAAGTGACACAACTCAAAATAAAACAACACTTTTGTAAAAAAGTTTAACAGGAGTTGTGCCACTTTTATTATGAGGGTGCGATATGTACGTTTCTATGCAGTATTCTTCTTGAAATAGACCCAAAAAATCTCCGTCTTAAATATTGACATTAAATTAGGACACTCTCTGTATACATTTATCTCACGCATGATCATATGGTTAAGTTTAACTACAGTTTTAGGTTAAGCCAGGCATTGCAACTGCTGTTAGGAGAGAGAGCTCGTGATTAGCAGTAAAATTATAGTTAACCTGTGATTGAAAAATCGGCATAGGAGACTTTCCTTACTTCTACTATCAGTAATTGCCTTAAACCTTCTCATAACGTTTAACATTTTTCGTACACATTTCGAAAATGTGCGAGAGGTAGCGACTTATTGACCCAAATCGTAATTCAGAACGTAAACTTGAATACTTGCCTTCGTCAGGTCATCAAATGACAAATCTTCACCAGTGGTAGCATAGTGTTGTTTGACTTTCTGCAACGCTGTTTGTTGGAAAGAAGTTGGTACGTCGTCTGTGTGTAGAATTGCAGTTCCAATATGGCTCCACAACTGATTCAGGACTCGAATAAAGGGTTTGAGAACTGCACATATATTATGTATTTAGATATTCAGAAGTGTGTGGGTGAAGTTTATTTATTTACAAAAGATCTGTTCAAAAAATAACCGTAGCTTTCAAAAAGAGATCACAATTGTGGCAAGACAACTCATGGTTATTGCACCACATTAACGCCTGCTTACACAGAAGCCAAATGAGACTGTCCTCCTTCAACCTCATTACGCACCAGATCTGAACTTATTTTGAAATTACTTAAGTCTTCGTAAGCAAAGCGTTACTCTACATAACAAAAGATCTGAGATAACAACAATAACGTAAGGAGTTCCTCAAGTTTCCGTTTTAGGATCGTTGATATTTGTTATATACACAGCTGACATCTTGAGATCCGTACAGTGCTCACACATTCAATCTTATGCTGATGACAGGCAGCTTCTGTTTCATTTTGAACCATCTCTTGTGGTGCAGGCAAATGATTTAATCAACACAGACTTACGAAAAATACCTGATAATTGTAAAGAGCACAATTTGAAACTGAATCCTGATAAAACGAAACTTGTGCTTTTCTGTTCTGATCACAAGCGAGAAGACTTGAGCAGTGGTCTGACCCTCTTCTTGAATGAACAACAACTAGCTGTAAGATACTTGGTTTGATCATAGATGACAAGTTACGTTACCAACAATACGTTAGAGCAATATTTCAGAGGTGTTATTTGAAACTGCGAGTACTGCCAATAAGTACCTTATTAACTTCAAGACGAGGAAAAAGCTGTCTGAAAGTTTAGTGCTATCAATTATCAGTTATGGTTCGATAGTTTTTTATCCATGCCTGGACTATTTGATTCAAATGCGCCTACAGAGATTACAGAATAACTGTGCCAGTTTTGTCTGTAACTTGTGTAAATTTGACCACATATCTAATAGTTTCAGGCTTTTTCAATGGCTCAATATCAATTCTCTGTAGAAATATATTTACCAAACAACATTGAATCGTGTATTATATACTAGGAATCCTCTAAATTTACTAGAAAAGCTGGTCCCTAGGCTAGGTCAAGTACACATAATGTCAATATTAAATATCAAAGCCATTTTACAATGCCTATGTATATGACATCACTCTTTTATAGATCTTTCACGTATAATGCAGTGCCTCTCTTTAAAATCTATAGTAGGAATACTGATTTATCAAATAGCAGATAATAACATCCATTTCAAACTGCATCTCAGACTACATCCTCTAGCAATTCAACATAGGATCAATGAATAAATGCCCTGTGATCAATTACCATCATGTTTTCTTTTTAGCTAGACTCATAGAGATACAATCGTTTAATGTATATATGCAGATATCATATTTGTATGTCAAATCAGCATTAAGCTTTAGTGTTTAGAAAGGTTGAGTGTAAGAGTAGCTGTGCTAAGCTCTTTCAATAAAGCCGTTTATTATTATTATCTAGATCCTAGAAATTGTTTCTATTTCCTAAATTAAAACCGTGCTGAAATGATCCAGCGTCGACATCATTGATAGCGTTAAACCCAATTCGACACAGGGATTGAAAACATTCAGAAAGAAGCTTTCCAGGACTGCTCTGCAAAGGGGAATAACGGCTGGAAAAGTATGTATGAGTACTTTGGGGGGATAAGGGCCAATAATGTATAAAGTAAAACGCAGAGGTCTACAAAATAAGCTACGGTTATTTTTTTAACAGACCTCGAATCTTGCTTCCTAACGACTCACCAATAGATAAGAGAAGTCCTTCGTCGTGGTTGAATGATGCCATCCAAGGCACATCCAAAACTTTCCCAGCTTTCAACAAATTCTCTGGCAAATCTTCCAGAAACGGCCTTTTCGCCTGTTTATCAACTACTGGTACGAACAATGAAAATGGTAGACAACCAACTTCATGCATCTCATCAGTTTGTATAACTATCTGACTGGCTGGACGGGACTTCAAGCATTTCACCATTACCTTTGTATTCTCTGTCTCACAGCCAAGAAGTGTCGCTAATTTTTGGGCTTTCTTTAACGGACCCAACCTCACAGCCCAATGGCTTAGAGCTGAACCGCTCAACGACATTCCTCTGAAATTTTCTTATGTTGAATAGGCAGAATCAAGTTATATACAAGGTGTTCATTTGAAAACTTCCCACCACGGATTTATCAAAAACCACTGAAAAAAACACGTCAAAAGATTTGTCAAGGAGGACAACTGTTTAACCAAATACTACATCACCCCCTTTCACCCTCTGCTCACCAAGGTCATTCCTTTAATAATTTTAAATGACAATTGGTATCGAGTAATAGCTTGCTTGAAAGGTCTTTCGAAGTTCTTTATTCTCACGTTTGATTTTTAAAATCGATCTATTCGTTTTCAAGAAAATTAGAAAAATCTTTATCTTAATTCGTTCAGATAGAAAACAAAATCACCTGAAGATATCACTTTTTATTTCAGTAAGTGCTCAAAATGTTACCCGTTATTGGCCAAGCAATGATATAGGCGATGTTCAATTGATGAATTGATAAAAAAATGTGTGTCGCCTTAGTTTCACTGGATTTCTCCAAGGCCTTTGATAGAATTGATCACGCACTGATGTGTGCTAAGCTAAAATTTTATGGTTTTGATAAAATAGCATTGCAGTTTTTTAAATCATACCTAACCCACCTTTCTCAGCGCGTCTCACTTTCTGGAGTTTTGTCAAATTACTTCTGGTGTGCCTCAGGGCTCAATTTTAGGACCCTTGTCATTTTTAATTTATGTAGCGGATATTGCTAAGTCCATTCAAAATTCACAGCTACAGTCTTATGCGGATGACACTCAACTGCTTTACTTCTTTTATCCTGAGAACCTCCTGACTGCTACTATGGAAATTAACGAGGACATTGACTCTATTTGCACCTACTCAGCCAATAACAGCCCATGCCTAAATCTTCTGCTGTGCTGTTTTGTCCAAATCACAGAAGAGCCAAAGTCAAAGCTTGCTTGAGTATATCTATTAACAATCAAAATCTTCCTTTTTCTGAAGGTGTCAAGTGTCTATGTGTGTTTATTGATGAAAACGTGCGGCTTCGTGAACATCTAAATAATCTCTTACAATGAAGTTAAATCCGTCTGAGAACTCTGTATGCGAATAAAAATTTGCTGAATTTTAAAGTGCGAAAAAAGTTCTGTGAATCTTTTGTGTTATCAATTTTTAGTTATTGCAATCTAGTTTATCATCCTTGTTTGGATGTTGCAAGTCGTAACAGAATATCTGTAGTACAAAGTAACTGCGTACGATTTGTATTTAGTTTAAGAAAATTTGATCATGTTTCGGATCGTTATCCTTTAATAGGTTGGTGATTTAGTTAAATACAACTATCTAACCTTTATATATAGGTAAGTTACTTGTCTCTGGAACTCCAATTTATTTACGTGAAAAACTAATTTTTAGGTATAATGTTCATCAACTACATATCCGTAACACATTCGCTTTAACAATGCCACTTCATAGTTCATCTGTTTTTAACAGGTCCTTCTCATAGCATGCATGTTGTACAATAGCTTAGATTACAGAACAAAGACCCTGCCGCTGCATAGTTTTAAAAAACACTTAAAAGCTCTTCTACTCAATGGTGCTTCTTAAAGGTATTTTTCTCCAGCATTATATTTTTAAGCTAATTTTTGTTTAGGTTGTGATCAGTTACATGGACATTTTCATCCTTTTATTTTCTTTACAGCTGTACTTTTTTACCATCTATTATTCTTATGCAGTAAATGGTTAAGTGTAAGACTAGCTGTCATAGCTAAACTTCGCCATTAAGCTGCTCACCAATCTAATTATAGATAATAATATATGCATTATCTGTAATTTCTTTTTCCTAATAAAAGACGGTTTATTACTATTATTATTATAAATTCCTGACGGACATTTTCTAAGACATGTGGAATATCATGACGAAGTTCATCCAAACTTGGGGAGTAAGCACAATAGATTTCAAATGGCCCCAAAGAAAAAAGTTTAATGGCGTCAAATCAGGAGATCTAGCAGGCGATTCTATAGGCTCTCTTCGCCGTATCCATTTATCTGGAAACTCGTCGTCTAGCCATTGCGGAACGGGAAGAGCATAGTGAGGAGGAGCGCCGTCTTACTGGAAATATATTTCAGCCTCATAAAGTATAGGATTTCCAACTTCTCCGATTTTATTTTCAATGGTTTCAGTGATAGGCGGATTTACGGTATTATCCAACATATCCAAATAAATGTTTCCACTCAAATTTCCATTAATAAACAATGACTTTGTTCCCTAAAATGCCTGCCCATACATTAATTTTTGGGGGAACTGGGTATGCCCTTATAGAAGCAAGAGAGTTTTCATTGCGAAAATACATCCAGTTATGCTTATTAAGAAATCCATTTAGATAAAATGAATGTGCATTCATCACTGAAGTAGGTATTCTTTACATGAATGGTATTATCATTAATCGCTGCAGTCATTTGTTCACAAAACTCAACTGAGCCTAGCATCATAAATTAGAATCATTTCCACTCTTTCGACTAGTGTGTAAACCATTTTGGAAATAAAATCAGTCGCTTAGCAACAAATAACTAAAGAGGTATAACAATAAATACAGCTCCCCAGCATATCTGTGTTGATGAAGAATGCGGAAGAAGAAATTGGGGTTATTTGGTTGTTGCCACGTCTAATCTTCCCAATTGCTGTTTATGTTGGGAGTTTCCGTTTTAAACTATAAACGAATTGGCCAGACGAGTTTCCAAATGAATTGATAGGACGAAGAGGGCTTATAGAATGGCCTGCTAGATCTCCTGATTTGATGCCATTAGACTTTTCTCCATGGTGTCATTTGAAACCTATTGTGTTTACTCCTCAACCTGAAAGTTTGGCTGAACTTCGTCAACGCATCATCGAACGCTGATATGATATCCCATGACATGTCTTTGAAAATGTCCGCCAGGAATTTGAAGGTCGCCTATATCATTTTAAACACTCAATAAAATAAAAAGTGATAATATTCCTGCCTTTTTGTTTTCTATCTGAACAAATTTAGATAAATAAATATTTTACTAATTCTCTTGAAAACGAATCGACCGATTTTAAAAAAGATCCTGGGTGGCAGAGGGTGAAAGGGGGTAAAGTAGTCTTTGGTTAAAAAGTTGGCCACCTTGACAAATCGTTTGACGCCTGTCCGCGTTTTCTTTTTAATCAGTGCGTTTCGATAAATCCGTGTTGGGAAGTTTTGAAATGAATACCCTGTATTCGTATACTCAAAGTATAATAGAATCGCTGTGCTGTCAAACCAGTATTGAGCTCTATCTAGTAGGGTGAGTGGACAACGAAAGGCCATGGTCTTTGTAAGCAAAATATTAGAAACTCGTAGTTATAGCCGTGCGATGCTAAATTTTTTCCACTCACAGTAACACCCATCGAACTCAAAAACACAGACGTGTCGGCGAATCGTTCACGACGTTGATATTATAATGCGAGCTCGCAGAAAAACGTAAGTTTTCAATCATAAAAGTTATTGTTTGCTTTGTTATTCTGAAATGATATACAAGAATTTGCTATGGTACTAGAAAAAGAAAAGCATTAATTTATTTCCATTACAAAATATCGGCAGTGTTATTGAAAGGCACACTGTTCCGCATAGTGCCGATCAAAGATTTGACAGTTTGCTTTGCCTGGAGCGCAAGAGCTCGGTAAGGAACATCTAGAAATCACAAAGATATAAGTACTTAGTTTTTAGTTGTTGGAGAAACTGAAGTATACTCTACTACGCCATTTGGAACATTTTGGACTGATAAGAAGACGGAGCCTAAAGAAGCCCAAATTAGTTGGGTAAATTTGTTAAAGTTTATTGGAAACTTATTTGATATCGATACCATAATCATTAAAGCTATTTTCAAAGCCTTTCAAGAATACATTCTTAGTTTGACGATAGTACTCAAGTAATGTTAGTTGAGCAATTTGATATGAGGACATATTACTTTAAGTATCTATTATTTCATTTTAAGGACCTCTACATGTAGTTTAAGTAACTTAAGCAGATATTTTGATCAGAACGTTAGTTTTAAGTTAAAAGACTGATTTATTACATTGGCTGCGTACGGAGGCCTGTCCCTTTCAAGGCTGTTCTAATTGCATCAGGTAGATAATAATTAATTCTTCAAGAAAACATAGCCAAGCAGCGCATACTGGAGGTGCCGACTTCGCGCTGATGTCGGATACCGACTTGAGCTCGTGTCACGACGTCGGCCTGACGTCGGACCGACCGAAATTTAACGTCGCACGTCTGACCAATGAAGTCGCATTAGTAACAAACCATTACACAATAAGATTTTTAGCGAGATGAATGATAGCTGAAACAACTTGCTGTTGACCGTGATCAATGAAATTTTCTTCCCCAAAATGTAGTTTTTGGTGTTTAATGACTTGATTACCCTTTCCATTTTTCAATCTTCAGTAGCGCATACCTATTGGATAATATCTGAGTAGCGTTGCTATGGGTTGTAACAATAACAAAACGAGTATGGCAACAAAACTAATAAACAGAAATAATAACTACAAAAATTGTTCAAATTGAGCACCACCATGCCTAACATACTCTCGGGTTCGACGAACTAATCCTTTATGCACACTCCAAAGCATTTAGATGGTTTTTTTTATTTCCTGGCTACGGTGGAAAGTGATTTGTCGAAGATCATCTACAGTTTTGACTGGCGTATTGTCGCGTCACTTTAAATCATCCCAGAAGAAGAAATCCATAGGATTTAAATCTGGTGATCCAACCGGCCACGATACAGGTCCTGATCGGACTACCCACCGGTCTGGATAAACTCTATTTAGGTGCTCTCTAACTAATATTCTAAAATGAGATGGAGCGCCGTCGTGCATAAACCACATATTCATGCGTGTTTGTAATGGAAGATCTTCCAGCAGAGTGGGTAACTATTCTTCAAGAAATTGTAAATACCTTTGGCTATTTAGTCTAGGTCATGACTCAACGGGTCCTATTAAATATTGTCCAATTATCCCTGCCAATAAATTGATTTGAAATTGTACTTGGTGGCGGGTTTGTATTATTGCATGATGATTTTCGACTGCATAAATGTGGAGATTATGCGAGTTAGAGGGCCCATCCATTCCAAATCCTGCTTCGTCCGAAAATAATATTAATGAAGTAAAACCATTGCCGTGGTTAAGCTTCCTTAAGAGTAATGTACAGAATTCTACCCTTGCGGGGTAATTATTCGCGCTTAAGCCATGTACTTATTGCAGGTGGTATGGATGGAGCAGTTGCTCTTGAAAAATAGTATTTACTGTACATTTGGAAACTTGAAATTCTCGAGCTTCATTCCTAACCCCAACTGTAGGATTTTGGAAGACAGCATCTAAAACATTTACTTCAACTTCAGCTGTAACAGTTCTGGGAGCTTCACTACGTCGGCCCATATTTTGAGCCAAACTACCTGAGATCCAAATGGCGTTTACAACTCAAAATAAGGCCATAATCATTTCTTACCAGTTCCTCGTAGCCGCTGATTGATTTGTTGCAAAGTCTTTGAATTAGGCATGCGTCTGTTAGGGAATCTGTCATCGTACAGTCTTCGTGCTTTTAAAGCATTACATCTTGCCAATCCGTACATTGAATGAATATCAGAATATTCATCAAACGTATACTCCATGATGTTTAACAACTTATTATCAACTTAAAATCATTTATGAAGCTTAAAGCAGTACTATGATAAACATTAGAAACCATAGCAACGCTACTCAGATATTATTCAAGGCAACTTGATTATTACGTTATAAAAATGTTTTATCATCATGGTACAAATAATGCATTGGAACCTTTAAAAACAAATATCTCGAAAACTATCAGCTTTAAACACTTTTAACAAGTGAACCTTTTTTGTTGCTAGAATACGAGAAAATAAGATTTTTTCGGTCAGTTGTTGAATACAGGGTAGCACAAAAAAGTTATGATAGGCTATTTATCGAAATAATAATAATCGAAATAAGTGGCGCCCTCTAGAAGTTTGACCATAAAAATGACGGATTCTTGTTTCTCATAGAAAACCTCCCTATACCAAGTTTTATGCCAAGATCTGAAATACTTCTCAAGCAATAAGAAAAAACAGAAAATAAAATTGTAACTTTTACACCCTGTATCTCGCAAACGATCAAATTTTGAACTGAAGTATGTTTAGTTCAATTAACAAATTTTGGTCTGTAGTATTTCCAGCTCCGAGATTTCCTAACCTTTCGCAGACACCCTAAATAATTTACCTGTGGAAAAGCCCTTTGCTGTATGACGACAAATAGTGAAAATGTACAGACGTTGCACCTGCAGAGAATCCTGTTATTGTTACTGACTTTGGGTTTCCATTAAACCATTCTATATTGTCCTGAATCCATTTAAGAGCTAAAGTTTGGTCTTTCAAACCGTTGTTTCCTGGTACTACATCATCTTCTGTACTGAGGAAACCTAGAACATTTATTGAGGGCATCCTTACACGTGGAAGTTGTTAACTGTATGAGCAGGATTATACAGCGTGTTTCAGAAAACCGTGCCAATATGTCTAGGAAAAATCGTGGCTAAAATTCCGCGAGATTCATGGTGTTGTAATTAAAATTTCTAATTCGGAAGTAAATTATATCTTCAGAGTAGATTAAGATGCCTTGTGCATGCAGTACTAACATCATATCATACAAAAATGTTCTTGCCCGTCCCTGTACCAACGGTGTAGAAATTAGGAAATTTTGACCCTACGGAAGAAAAAAATGTCTACGCCACTGATCTTTTTGAAGCACCAACACACGTTTGAATAAGGCATTCAATTTTACACGAATCGCTTCTCTCGAGAACATTTTATTATACTACGACTTTTGAAAATAAAATTGTTTGAATGTTTTACGTACAATCTGTATAAACAGCTTCACTTTGAAAATTCGCTCATGGCAGTGGAGTTTGGAATTGTAAATTGTATATAACGTATCAGGAGAGTAATTCTAGCTCAGCATAGGGTTTGTTCGAATCGGAATCTCTGAAAAACTAAACAGCGTTTTGGTGCCATTTTTCCATTGTTTGGGATAAGTCCATGACCCTCCCTAATATTAAATCTGGGTTTACTGCCACTGGTATATTTTCATTTAACCCAGATATTCTACCGGTTGAGGCATCTGCTCCAAGTAGCGTCACTGAAAATCCTTCAAATATCGCCAAACTGACGATCAAGACTAAATTATCCAACCATTCAAAAAAGAATTCTGAAATTTCTGATACTTCATCGGAAGACGAAACTGGTGAAGCGTACGGAACTGAAAATCCAGTAAATCAAGTTGCCCAAAAAATCCTTCCAAAAAAAACTTGAACAGCTTTTCGCAAAAAATTAGCAGCAGTGATGATTCTGAGGATGAAACATCTGACTCGTTTGAGACTTCATTTGAAGACAAAACTAGTGAGGCTTCCGAAACCACTGATGTGCGCGGTGTTTCTTTCACTGATATGCTCAATACACCAGAATTAGCACAAAACAAAACACAAGAAGCCTAAGTCCGCAAAATCAAAGAAAATTGTACCAAAGAAAAAGTCTCCGAAGCAAAAGAAAGAAGAAAGTTGGTATTGCAGAGCATGTCAAGAAGACAGAGTGGCCGATATGCGCCTTTGTGTCATGTGCAAATCTTATTTGCATGATGACTGCCTTGGATTGACTAAGGAGGACCAAATACTCGGATATATCTATCCTTATTGTTCATAATTTTTGTTGCAATTATTATTTGTACTTCTTCTATTTAAAAAATTATTGACAACTCAATATATAAAATAGGTAGCGATATTGCTAGACCATTGATGACAATATCGCCAATTTGCAAAATTATTTAAAAACTTAACAAATGCTCTCCGTATGCTAGAAATATTACCAATCATTTCGAAACTATTGGTAAATAGATTAGACAAAATGTTTAACATATAATTTTCATAAAAAATATGTTTTTCGTATCTAAAAAAAAAATAAAAGCTTAATATGGCGATATTGTATACAGGTACACTTACCTTATATTATAATTATCTTACGGAAGAAAAGAAGCATTACAAAACGATTATTTAGAGCTTTTTGAAGCACCTTCCATCCAAAACTTCAGCAATGAGATGGAAAAAGTGCTACTACAGCTACAAAGATTTGAATCCACAAATTAAATTCATAGCGGTTGCTACACTATCTTCCACATACACTACGAATATATCGTATTATATACAATGTTGTGCATAATATTGACTGTGAATGCTAATTACTCCGTTGATGTTAAATAAATGCTCATGAAACTAAGTTTTAGGGGGAAGTGCAAAATGGCTGTTCCAATCCTCTTTCCTTTTGGAATGTTGTCGTTTTTATATTTGTTATGTATATACATTCCAATAAAAATTAATATTATAATTATCTGAACAATGTTCGTAATTTGTCTCAGTCTCGCCAGTGGCGTAGAAACACCCTGTATGTTGGTAATGCGCTATCTTAAGTCCTATGTTTATGAGATTTTTTTTAATTAGGTTTATTCTTCATACTCTAGATATGTCTCCACGTTATTCTGAAACACTTTGCATAATTATGATTTGAAGATAAAGCTTTTTTGAAATCCCGATTCATTTATAATATTTTACCTAGAGCTCCTATCCTGTAGTTTAAGGAGACCAGAATGATATCTCTGTCCATGACATACTTTTCACCAAGATATTCGTTTGACCATCCAGCAACGTATGCTCCGCCATGGATATGGACTACTACGTCCAACTTCTTTGACTCTGTCGTTACAGGTACGTACACGTTTAAATACAAGCAGTCTTCCTCACCTTGATAATGGCCTAAGCCGGCCTCCTTGAATGAAAAATAGTAATAGATAACATGCTGAAACTAGTCCATGTATGAGTAATACACAGAAGTGCCAAACCATTAGAATACAAGAATTGCCCAATATCAACGTAGGGTATATCTCCCTCCAAATTCATAAAAAGACAGAGAAAACAAAGGTAAATAAATGTTCGTAAAACCTCAATCAGGGTTGCTTTGTTGGAAGATTTTCCTCCAAATTGAGGGGACTTTTCGGGAATTTTTGGGGATAAAAGGGTTCTGGGGGAAATACAGGTTTTGCGGATTGAAGGCATCCCCTCGTTCTCTGAATAAAACCATTTCTGAGGGCTTTTGTTGGGAAATTCTCTCTCTGGCAACGCTTTGCTTTGACAGATCCGTCATATTAACACTTTCCTAATAGCCTAATATCCGGCTGCTTGGATCTACAGGTACCTGCCGTTTTGATAAAACTTGATTTTTGTAAATGATAAATAATACTGAAATAGATTACAGCAGGGTTGCTTTCGCCATAACCTTACTTGAAATACCTAATATACTTATTTCTTCTTGTAAGTCTCCTCAGAATATAATGCTACGAATAGATTCAGCCTGGAAGTTATATATGCACCGTGAATGAGCATAAGGTGCACATAACAAGGCATACGGTTCCGAAGACGTCAATACATCTTGTTAATTAGAATTCTATAAATATTTCAAGAAATAGCCAAGAATGGATCTAATATTTGAAACAAATGCTGTGCTTAATTCTGTGGCCTTCATGCTTATAGAACTCTATGTTTTTTAGACGAAATGATATCACATAAGTAGAAATTGCGCTTCAATAACGTTTCAGCATATTTCAAAGTACATAACAATGTGACAATGATAATATACAGGGTGTTCATTTGAAAACTCTCCCACGGATTCATCGAAGACAACTGATTAAAAGAAAAAACGCCGAGACACGTCAAAAGATTTGTCAAAGGGACCAACTTTTTAACCAAAAACTACTTCAATCCCTTTCACCCCCTGCCCTCCAGGGTCATCCCCTTAAAAAGTTTGAATGACAAGAGGTACCGAGTAATAGCTTGTTTGAAATGTCCTTCGAAGTCCTTGCTTTTGACGTTTGGTTTTTTTAAATCGGTCGACCCGCTTTCAAGAAAATTAGATTAATCTTTATTTATTCTAATTTGTTCAGATAGAAGACAGAAACACACAAAAATATCACTTTTTACTCCAATAAGTGTCCAAAATGTTGCCCTTTATTGGCCAAACAATAATATAGGCGATGTTTAATCATATCAGCTTTCGATGATGCGTTGACAAAGTTGATCCAAACATTCAGGTTGGAGATTGAGTACAATACATTGTAAATGGTCCCATAGAGACAAGTCTAACGGCGTCAAATCAGAAGATCTAGCAAGCCGATCTATAGGCCCTCCTCGCCTTTAGTGACTGTGTGTAAAGGGCCTAATGAAATACCAGTCGCAGCAACAATTCTGGGTAATGAAGTACTAGGATTTATTCCAAAATAACAACTTAAGCGGCTTCATCCAATACTCTCCGATGATCACGTTTTTTTATTTACAACAGATCCAGTTTAAGTAAATTTAATAACAAGGTCCAAAACATACCTATAAGAAGTTATCTTCCCGGACGTCTGGCGTTAAACGAGAGGGCAGTTTGCCGAGCACATTGATTTTGGGCACCACAAACTAAAATCATTTCTACCCTTTCGGACAGTGTATAAACATTTTTTAAGGAAAATCTAAACCAATAAATTGATTTCTACTATCCCAAGATTGTCACAAAGGTATCTGACGGGAAATTAAATTCTTCGTTTGCCTTAGCAACAAATAATTAAGCAGGTATAACAATAAATACAGTTCGCGCAGGATACCTGTATTCATGACAAGAGTGCAGAAAAAAATTCGGGTTGTTATTTGGTTGTTGTCACGTCTAATCTTCCGAATTTCTGTTTATGTTGGTAGTTTTTGTTTTAAATTTCAAGCGAATTGTAGATTGGGTAACATTTTTTACACTCATTGAAATAAAAAGTGATATTTTCGTGTGTTTTTGTTTTGTATCTGAACAAATTAAGATAAATACAGTTTTTTCTAATTTTCTCGAAAATGAATTGACTGATTATAAAAAATCAAACGTCAAAATAAAGGATTTTGAAAGACCTTTCAAACAAGCTATTATTCGATACCCCTTGTCATTTAAAATTTTTAAGGGAATGGTGGGCAGAGGGTGAAAGGTGGTGAAATAGCTTTTGGTTGAAGAGTTGTTCATCTTGGCAAATCTTTAGATGTGCCGTAGCGTTTTTCCTTTTATTCAATGGGCTTCGATAAATCCGTTTTAAAGTTTTCAAATGCATGTATACAAAACATGTATTGTAAATTCATCTATGTTGTAATATTAACAAATGTATCATCATTACATCTTTAGGTAGTGTGAGGTTTAAAAATTTGATGTATTGTGAATAGTCACATGGCCCACGCATTTTAAATAAATATTATTAATATAGTTAGCTAAATACGTGTCACGAGCAAAAAGCTATTTATCGATCAGCTTGTTAAGCTCATGTCTTCTACAAAACTCAAAGAAACATTGATAGACCTATCGATACACCAATGTTTAATTTTAGGATGTTTGCTTCCCTAAACAAGTTTCCTAAGTATCGCGAGCGTTATGGTGATTTTTCAAGTTGACGCCTCTGGATTCCATGTCGTTAAATCTAGGATCGTCAAATAACTAAAACAATAGGATATGTTTTTATAACTTTTTTTAGAGGCCCCCTTATGGCTCTTGCCGTATCGTTGCCGTAACGCATGCACATTTTCTTATCGTAACCAGAAAGTAAGCACGATGAAATATCTCAATATTTAATTTATAATAAGAGAACATCCTTACCTGTAAAGATTTGATTTGTTGGGTCCAGAAATACGGAAAAAGTTTATTATTAATAAGTATTCTTTAGGTCGATAGCTGGATAAATTTTATTTCGAGGAGCAGGTATTGTCCATTTCCTTAACTCCCTTTTAGACTTGTTAATGTATATCCCTTTATTTCAGCTGGTAGAGAGCCTGCTTTCCTGGTTAAGTAATTTTCTTGCACGATACTTGTATTCAACTAGATAACCTTTTTGTATTTTTATGTTGGTCTATGGCCATGGAGTGGATACGTAATTGATTACGGTATAGCTTTTAAAATTTGTTTCTATGCTTTTTCTAGAGCATCAGTGTAAGTTTCTTTGACTGCTCCCCAAATTATGATACCATAATTTATACCACTTTTGGCTAACGCATGACTAAATATTTTTAATTGTCTGTCCGTCAGAAACTGCTTAAAATTTTTGATTAGATGAATACCTTAATTTTTTTACAACGTATTGTATATGGGTATCCAAATAAAGATGTGGGTCTACATAGACAGATAAATATTTTACAGTGCCTTTCCTCGAACCTACTTCGTCAGTATTTTCATCAATATAATTTAATATTTGGTAGTCTGGCAAATTGTTGGGATACGATGAAAATAGAATAAAACGCGTTTTACTATAATTTGCCGTTGAAAGGAGAGGCAAACCAATTCATTATATTATTAAGTTCATTGTCACAAACTGCTTTTAGCTGACTCCAATTTACTGCACTACAGAGAATGATGGTATCACCGGCAAAACTTTAATGCATTACTTATCTAGCTAACACGATGAAATGACGATGAAATTCGCTAACTACAATGCAATAGAAGCTCATGTTATCAAGTAACGGAAATAAAATATTAAAATAGGACAGAATATTAATTTATGAGGTGGTGGCGATTTGAGAAAGGAAAAATGTAAGTTACCTACGGTCTGTGCGCACCTGGTTGATTCTACCCTTTAGTTGTATATTTAATATTTGAAAACTGATCAGAAGAATCTTTAAAAGCTACGAAATCACTTTTGATTACTGCTCAAGACACTTCATTGCCAAGAGTGTCGGACTGGAGATGTTCAAGTATATGTTTGACACTCGGTTGGGGTTACGTGGAGTTGAACTAGCTGGCTACAAAATGAAACAATTGCTTATCGAGAGTGAAAGAATACCCGCTAATTATAAAAAAAATTATAAAATATCTTAAGAAAAGAAACGACTTGATTCTTTAGTTGAGCTACTTTGAAATGATACTGATTATGATATTACCTCACGTCATGTATCTGTGATCTCGAATCAACGTCATAATTTCCAGAGAATGTGCCCTTGAAATCTGATATCAAATGAGGACCTTGTCAAGGAATGTAATTTCTTTTTCTATTCATATTGTTGAGAACTTGATAGCATTATCTAAGTAGGCATACCAAGTTTCATATTTCGGCTGGTTAAAATGTTGTAAGGCCATAAAGAAATGGCCAAAATCTATCTCGTTAGGAATTGCTGATTCATTTATGACGTCAAAAATGCGTGTTGTGCAATGCACTCATATGGCAACATAGTCATTAAACCAACCAATTCACTTATTATTTGTAATAATATGTAGTTATCTTGTATATCATGTGCTGGTATTCGTGACAGCTCATCTATAATAATTCCGCACGAACGTAATGGGTTCAAAAGAAATGGCGTGTACGAAGTTCAACGAATAAAATATTTAATCAAAGCCGTTGACCTTCAATCTCTCAGCGTAAAATAATAAATAAAGTATTTTTCCTATCGATTCTTCAGAACAAAAATAATTTCTTCAACTTGATTTGTCTGGCAATAAGGTAGTCTTACATTAAGAATGAAACGATAATATTCTCACGGAATTTTATTGACAAGTAATAAGAAAAAAAATTATCAATGCAGCTGAATACACTACTGTATACTTCTAGGCATCGACAAAATGAGATGATCGATGTCTGGTTGTGGCACCTCACTCCAAGCAACTCGAACTCCTCATCATAATCCACGTATGTTCGATGGGATTTAAATCCAGTGAACGGGGTGGCCACGGCAAAACAATAACGCCTGCTTCTTGAAAGTCCGTAGTACGACTACCATTATGGGGACGTGCGTTGAATTGCTGAAAAAGGACGTGTGGACGGCCCTCTAGATATGGAAGTTAAGTGGTTTATAGCATATCATCAACATAACGCGCAGCAGTCACATCGCCTTGAACAAAGAGAAGGCGTGTTCGGCTACCATACGCAACAGTCCCCAAAACCATTACTCCAACAGTTTTGTGTACATACCTCGCAACAGCAAATCCAGTATCACGCTGTTCTCTAAGGCGGCGTCTTACCCTTTTACGACCATCGTGGGTACCTAGACCGAATCGCGATCCGACGCTGAAGATGACATTACGCCATTCTGCCTCCGAGTGTTGCTGTTCTCGGCTCCAGTTCAAACTTTGACGACAGTGGTCCCTAGTCAGAGGAAGCACTAACCGTGGACGGTTTGCAAAAAGCACAAAGGCTCGAATGCGGCGATAGAGTGTACGCGTAGTAACAGTGCCTATCCTGACGCTCTGTGGTACGCGTCGGTGGACCACAAGGCCTTCCTCGTGTTCCTCTACCTTCCTCTGTCGACTCGCGACACACACTCAGTACTCTCATTGCACTACAATTAACACGGCGGTCAATTTCGCGATAGGACAAACGAACCTCTCGAAAGGAAATAATTCTACCCCTGTCAAAGTCGCGAACATGGTGACAATTTGGTCGTCTTCGAACTGGAGGCTTTTGTTATACTAGTAATTAACTAAAAATATCTGTACTACTCAGCTCTCATGAACTGCTTTCTTCACAAAAACTGAGAGATAGCATTTTAACAAAGGTAAACAAAAACAAAGATAAAACGTAGACATTGTTACCACAGCATCCTTTAAATATAGACAAGAAAAAGACAAGTTGAAGAAACTATTTTTGCTGGGTGTAATACTTCTAGTGTCACTGAGTGAAGTGACATCCAAAGAATATAAACTCATTTCCGAAAATGTTCACGGTTACGATACTTTCTCGCCAGTGGCGTCGAAAGTAACAGTGCTTACGATTTGGACATTTTTGCTAGACTTTGTATGGCAAAAAATTATAAGATCTTGGATTACTTCGATAACGTGCGAAACATCTGAACCTATTTGACGTTTATGACGTGTACAATATTGCAGAAATTAAAATTATCCAGTGTTTCAAAAACAAAAATTAAAGTTCTGTCATCTATGGGTAACGCTGGGAATACAATAGTCACACTGCGAGTTATCTGACAGCCAATAGTCTGAAACCGAGGGAAAAAGCGAAACACATCATACGCTACCGTTAATGTGGTGTGTCGTTGAATACGGCAAGATTAACGCGTACCGACTTTAGAGATACAAAGGCACACCGCACTAGCAGTGGTGTACGAGCCTTTATGCTACTGCTAGTTATGTGTAACGTGACCATAGGTCGCGCGTTGAGCGGAACCGTTCTTTTTTTGGCTCTCTCCGCCCGATATCCCCGACTAAAGATTTAGGACGCATGTCCTGCTTTCAAGCTGGAAATGCAAAATTTTCCAAATTTCCAAAACTGCTCTTATTCCGGTCTTCATTTTTGAGTCCCGGTAATTATTGGTTTTACTAATTGACATACATAAACTGAGGTCACGTACCCTCTCCGCGCTTCTTTTTTCTTAATCCTGGGAATCGATCGTACTTATTGACATACATAAACCGAAGTCTTGGCTGGACTCATAAACTGAATGGTCACGCTAGTTATGGGTCAGTTAATGGAAATTTGATGATGCCTGGGATCTCGTAATTAAACCTAGCTAGCGATTACCTTTGGCATTGACTTCGCTAGCATATGCGTCTGCGGACATTTGTATATCCTAGTTGCATTCCATATGCCACTCCATGGTTCTACCGGTTGTGGTTCTTCGAACCTTAGATCACCGACAGGAGGTTTTGCATATGGAATTCCCTCGAAGGACGCATACTTCCGTCCTCCAAATGATGTTCTCCATTCTCCTTCGACTGGTCCTAAGTTCGTGACTGTGAAAGGCCTGGCTGCGTCTTCCGCAATTTTTGCTGAAATTTGATATTTCTTCCTAATATTATTCGAAACATAAGCAAAAGAAGTTCGATGAAGTTTGATATCTTATGACCGAGCATAGTTTCTATCTTTTTTCATATCATCAAGAAGTGCTTATCAGAATAAGGATACAATTCGCACTAGAACAGTTGAAGTATTTTGGTCATGTCATGAGAAATGCTAAACATAATAACTATCATATGCAAACCAGGATAAATAGAAGAAAGGAACCTGGGAGATGGCGCATATTAGTCTATTCATATAAGAAGACAATACCCCTGGTTTGCGAAACAATTGTAAAGACTGGTTTTATTGCTGCAAGTTATTCAAGGGGGTATTCAAAACATGGACGCATGACAGGGGTAGGTACACCAATTTTTGTGGAGAAACTTTTTATTCGACAACATATCAGATTTTTAGGTATTTATGAGACCTACAAAATGAGACCACACGTAAATCATTTAGGATAGCGGTCAATAAGGTTAGCTGAAAAAAAAGAACCTGCAGTAGTAGGCATGCTAAGGCGAAAGTGGAGATAAATATACTAAGGGACACATAAAATGCAACACCCAGAGTTATTAATTGAATATTGAGCTTGTGAACATACTTGCTATCATGGAAGTATACGCTGATAAAATGTTGAAGGCATTACGAGCCGTAATTCTTTGTAAAAGCTTTCTTGTCATATCAGGATCCGAACAATATGAACATGTTTACTTAATATTCGATTATTTATCTGTTTTGGTTCCATTTGTTTCATTGCATTATCATGTCTTGAGTTTGCAGACGCGCTAATTTCACTCAACTTTTCTAGTTTGAGAGGGGTCAGATATTCGGATTAGGAGAAATCGCTAATCGCGTGAATCGAAGCGAAGCTATTGTAATGAGATGTTGTCAAGGGTCGTTCCAAGAAAGCCGAAATCGACGAGTTACAGGTACTGGACGTTAAAGAGAGATTTGAGGCAATTAGCACTTAGGCCCGTATCGTCAGTCGTCCCTACAATTGTTGGGCGCCTTTATGGCCTCCTTGATTGTCATAGTTTTCTACTTCTCCGTGTCAGAACTCTATTTTGAGGTTATGTCACAAACATCTATTTGCTTCAAATTGTGCTTGCTTTTGAGTTATATCATGCTTTATCAGCTTGAAATTTTCTACAATTTAAAAAGAAAACATATCTTCACAATAGGAGAGCGATGACGCTGACACGGGGCAGGTGTAATCTAGAAATTTTTGAAGGCGAGAATGACAATCAAGGAGGCCATAAACTCACCCTACAATTGTAGTGACGACTGACGATACGGGCCTTAGAGATCGATTTTTCTCAACAAGGGCAGTTGCGAAACAGTGGTTTGACGTTGTCGGAGGGGCAGTAACGATGAGGACAGTTTATCGCCGAATAAGATCTTTTGGACTGTTTTCTTATCACCCCCATCTTGTACTACCTCTGATCCCATAGAATCTTCGTGTGTGTGTGTTATTAAACGGCATGTTAATCGCACTGTGGGTGTTCTGGCATGGGGTGCCATTGCTTACGGTGGCAGGTCACGATTTCTGTTCATTCGAGGTAACATGACTTTTTCAACCACATCTGCTTCCCTTGGAAACATTGCAAGATCCACTTTTTCAGCAAGACAATGCACGTCCTCATGTCGCACGTGTTCGTTTAGACTTTTCGGAAGCGTCCGGATGGGAAAAAGGTTGCAAAAATCCCGGCACCCTTTATAAACATCGGAGGCTCTACGGAACCAAATTCAGATAGATCAAAATACAATACACTAAGATGACACAAATCACCTAATCCAACCAATGCCGTGACGACTTAACGAATGTGTACTGAACAGAGGAGCTTCAACACATTATTAACATTAAGATGACTATTTTCCGAAATTTCGATTTAAAATTTTAATCACTTTCTATTTATCAGTATACGTGAAACCTGTAAAGGTATGCTAAAAATTACAGCACTCCTAGTCGGTGTTACATTGTCTATGTCATTTAGTATATTAGCCCGTCTCAGAGGAAAGCTAACCAGCCACACGATAAAAAATGTTAGGTTTATTAAAACAATGGCGTCTAGTAGGTTGAAAATGAGCAGGTTTTTGAAAATTATGAAAAAATTGACCTCCATCGTAGATCTTTCATTATGCAATACTTGATACATACTACTTCAATGACATCGGAACATTCCAAGGAAGGTATCGCCGAAAATTCTGAGACTTTTATATTGGACCGTTTCGTTTGTGTATATTTTTTGGATGTCGTATACTCGTACATTACGAAAAAACCATTTCCACTGGTCTGTTGGTACGTCGGTCTGTCTTTTTACACAAGCTTAGGAAAATTCGTCCAGAGATGGCAGATCCAGGTGCAAAATAAAATTAAAGATCGTTCAAACCTTGTTTTTCTTGACGTTTCAGAGGCTCTTGATCATTTTCCGGAAAGCTTCTGTATGGGCTGAAACGGTGGTTGTATATAATGGTAAAGGGCATATCCCAACTATTTGTGGGACTTTGGATTTGTATGAAATTTTTACACATCGTAACCAAGCAAGAAAATGTTTAGTAGGGTTTGAAAACCAGAGTTCTGGGGGCGAGGGATGGTATATTTCGATCTTTTGTATATGTATACGCTTCCAACCTTGGTAATTCGACGCACCATTAGACACATCACACATATATTTACCCGTATATTTGCCTTCAAGGCTTGCAATGATAGAACATTATTTTCAATAGACGCGTTTCTGGATCTATCTTCATTGCGATCTGAGGTGGCTAGCCGGTAAGGCCGACAAGGCAGGGGCGGAATTTCTTGGTGACACGTTCGTTTATTTTTTCTCAGAGGGACTTCCTTGTGTCAAACGTAAACCTTCAAGGACTGATGACAGGGTTGTATGGGAAGTGACAACCTACTTGACGTAATTTTCTTTTCATGAAAATCACCCCACTATTCTTGTTTCAACTTTGACATCGACTAAATTTCAAAATCAATACCGGAATAGTCATTACTCAATAGAAAAAGAACCAAGAAGTGGAATTGAGGCAAAAAACAAAATATCTCATTTTCCAAATACTCCAAACAATTGTAAATATTGGATATTAATTGCATGTTTCCAAAGGCTCTAACAATTATTCGTTTGTTTGTTTCCGGAAATTACGAAATTTATTCATTTTTAAGCATTTGAAAAATATTCATAGCAGCTTTTTCAAACTTTCGTATTTTCAAAATATGCAAGCCCATAAAAATTCTTAAAAGTATTTTCAAGATCCAGAAGCTCTGAAAATGTAAAAAATAAAAAACAATCGATGATGTCAAAACTTTAAAAACCCTAAACATTTTGAAAAGTTTTGAATTTCTAAAAATCTTGAGGATTTTGAATATTTCGGTATTTGTTATAAATTTGTCTGAAATTCTTAGGAATACGAGTATGAAAATTATTAAGACTGGTGGCTTTGAAAATGTTGGAAATCGTGCAAATTTCCATTTTTTTTAAACGGTACTCAACCCTTTAGGAACGTTTAAACTCAACCCTAAAGTACTCACATTCAGCATTAGTGATGACTAGCAGGAGTATCGAAGCTAATACACTCATGTTTGAACACAAACTGATCCAAGCACTCAACAACAATTTGGAGTTGCAAATAAATATACGAAGGTTACTTGTAATTGAGGTGACAACAAACAAACATTGCGTGCACCAGAGACACTCATCCTATTAAAATTTGTCATAGACCAGATATAGGTATTTATTACTGATATAATAAGCCACTTTGTTGTCTGTATCATTACGATATAATTTAGCGGTTTCAGCAGAGATACTAATAAATATGTATACGCAGTGTCTCAAATTCTGTAGTCAAAAAAAACTTGGGGTGAGGTTGAATGTGACGGGAATTTACCTAGAGGTAGTTCAGAAAAAAAAGGATAGTCCAACTTTCTAGAGTTATCACTGTTATCAAATAGTAAAAGGATCATTGACCTTCGAGTGGTATCTAGCGTCATGATGACACTCGTTTTGCTGCCTGGAATTCAAACCCATGATCCTCAGACTGTATTAATGAAACGGTGCGGTGCTACTACCATGGATTTACTGAGCCAATAATTTGACGAACAGGCTAATTTATGGTTTCGAACCGATAGGCCGTTTTAATCGTGCGATATTACACCTGTAGAATTTCCTTTAAGGCTCTGTTTACATGCACAGTCAATAATTTTAGGTTGACAGTGATCGCGATAACCGGCACTCAAACCAAACGAACGACCCTTTTCTGCAGTTTGAAAGTTTCCACTGCTGATGAAGTGTTTCCCTAAAAGCATATATCCTGAAGCTCCATTACTATGTGACATATTGAAGAACTAACTTATCTATCAAAAAAATACCTGCTCCTGGTATATAGGCACAGTGTGAGAAACATCGTCTCCAATCTTCGGGATAAGTAACCATACAAGAGACAGCACCAGTAAGTACTAACAGAAACGTTAACAGCTCTTCAGAGGATGAACCAAGCATTTTCGGTAATCTTTCTTTAACCTCTCCCGAAATTTTGTCAAGATATATCAACTTTCAACCTGGCCTATACATAGGGTGTGTATCCGATATGACTAGATGAAAAAAGAAGGATGGAGTACAGTACCTGAAGAAGCTATTAGAAACAAAGAATGAAATAATTTTAGATAAAGAGAGATATATGAATCAATTATTTAAATTGAACAGATATTTACAGGAGCATTATGAATTGATCACTAGCAGTATAGTGGATAAAGAAACCATAATCACTTCTTTGGGGAAAATGAACGAAAGAGTTGAAAAAATAGAAGCTACTACCTCATACACCCATTGTAATGATGTAATCAAATCATATAGTGGGGCTGTAAAAGAGTCAAAAAAAGCAGAAATGAGAAGATTGTAGATAAAATTAATAATATACAAACGTTGATGATAAAAAGTACGGACAAATCAAACTCTAATGTTTTGGAAGATTTGAAGAAGAGCATTGATCCAGCTAAGTCACATATCTGTGTGAACTCTGTGAGGAGGGTGAATAATGGTGTCCTTGGCTGCGAAAATGAAGCATCATTGTCCAAGCTGATGGCGAGTATACAGGAAGAAATCGGTGCGAACTTCACTGTCAATGAGATCAAGAAATATCGCCCACGCATGGTGATAAATAATGTAGAAAGCGCGTACACAAAATTTTACGGATTAATCGAGAAAATCTTGTCGCAGAATGAATTTGGTATTTTCAGTAGTGATGAGATAAAAACTGTAACCTCTTTCAGATGTTCCGAATCTACTTTAAATGTTGTCATAGAGGTTAGCCCAAAATTTAGGAAAATGTTGATAGATAGAGGTCATATATACATGGGTTGGCAAAGATGTCCTGTGCGGGATTATGTACGAATTATACGCTGCTATATTTGTTCAGGTTTTAGCCACATGAAAAAAAATTGCAAACATTCTAAAGTATGTTGTCCTTTATGTGCTGGAGAACATTTAGAAAAAAATTGTAAATCGGCTTTTAAGAATTGTTCAAACTGTATGAATCACAATTCTAAATTCGACACTCAATTTGATACTAGTCATTCTTCTAAAGAATTAGATTGTCCAGCCTATAAAAACATGTTACATACTTGAAATTTAGAATTGAATATGAATAGTGATAAATTCAAGGTTTTAAAATTTGGTCATATAAACTGCAGATCAGTTTTATCAGAATTTCATGAATTTAGTACTCTGGTTCAAAACAACAACCTTGATATTGTTGGAATATCGGAAACGTGGCTATCAAAAGATATATCTAATGACCATATAGAATGAATGGATACAACTGCTATCGCTGTGATAGAGATGGGCGAGGTGGTGGGGTTGCAGTCTTTGCAAACAGCCACTACAACTCTTCCATAATTTCATTTGGACAAGGCTCAAGTCTTGAATATATATGGTTCCAGCTTCCAAAACAAAAAATTGCTATTGGTACATTCTATCGGCCACCACATAGCTCTGTTACAGAAGCCGGTTTGTAACAACTTGTCTAAATGCCTTGATTCTTATAATCTGAAACAGGTGATATCTGAACCGACTAGGAAAACTGAATCGACACTCACTCTCTTAGATCCTGTTTATATGAGCAAGCCTGAAAGTTGTCTTATGAGTGGCAGTATAATGCTGATATTATTACTGAACACTATTCAACCTTCTGTGATATACGTATTGCACTTCCTAAAAATCAACAGAAATTTGTGACATTCAGGGATTTCCATAGTTTAAATGAAATAGCGTTTGAACAAGATCTCAAGAGTTTTCCATGGTGGCATATTATATCGATAGATGACATTGAAGATAACATTAACTTTTTAACAGATAGTATTTTATGTTTATTTAATGTTCACTGTCCAAAAGCTTTGTCAAAGTTTAAATGTGATCGTACAGCCGCCTCTTGGCAACAGTATACATATTTCAGAAATCGTGCATTAACCTCGGCATTAACGCTCGTGTGGAGAGGAAAAAGAGATTATTTACAAGCTGTTCAAAATCAGGATATAAAAAAGTTTTATAAGACCCTAAGGACTTTCAAAGTACAATCTCAGAAAGATTCTACAATTCCCGTGAGCTTATCAAATCCGTATAAAATAATAGTGATTTGGCTTATGCTGATTAAATTGCATATTACCGAGCTAATGAAAATAACTCAGAATTCAAATTTCAATTTAATAAAGTGACTATTGACACCGTTAATAAAATTATAATTCTAGTGGTTCAGATGGAATATCTTTGCATATGATACTACTATGTACACCTGAATTTGATGTGTACTTAACGCGTACTATAAACTGCTGTTTAAAGAGGGGATATTTCCCCAATCAGTGGAAACGCGCTATAGTTGTTCCGCTACCTACGTGTTCTGATACTACTAACTATGGTCAACTGAGACCGATCAGTCTACTGCCAATTTTTTCTAAAGTATTGGAACGCGTTGGTTACGAGCAGCTCTGCGCCTACTTATATTCTAACAAAATTATTCCATCTAAACAATCTGGATTTCGAAAATGTTATAATGCAGCTTCGGCACTCTGTGATTTAACAGTCAATATGACAATGCCACTTGATAATCAAACAGCAGTATCTCTCATACTTCTTGACTTTACATTTTACACCATTAATCACTCACTTCTTGTATCTTAATGCAGTTATTATAGATTTTCTGAAAAACCTCATTCGTTTATTCAAATCTACCTTGAAAATCGGTATAAAAAAGTTCGTCTAAATCAACAGTACTCTACCGAACAAACAATTTGTTCTAAGGTACCACAGGGATCAGTCTTAGGACCCCTATTATTTTCATTATATATCTCTGATTTAGAAACAGAGGTAAGATCATGCAGCATACAATTTTTGCAGACGATACTCAAATTTTCTATTCACTTAGGAGTAACGATTTGGAAACAGCAAATAATAAAATTAATCAAGATCCTGCCCAAATTGAAAAGTTCAGTAGTAGTCATAATCTTAGTTTGAACCCTTTGAAGACAAATATGTTGGTATACGCAAATAGAACAAAAAAGACTACTTTAAAAAAGGACATAGACATACATCTAAACGGTAATAAATTAGTTCCTGTGGATCATTCGAAGAACCTAGGTGTTATAATGGATGATGACTTAAAATTTGTTCCACACCTAAACTATCTAATTACTCAGTGCTACGCTATTCTCAGAGTTTCATTTGCAAATAAGGCTATATTACATAAATCTGCGGGAAAGCAGTTGTGTGAATATTACTTGTTTTCAAAGATATCGAATTGCTTAGCGGTTTACTATTCCTATTTAGATATTATAACAAGAAATCGTATTCAAAGTATTAAGAACACATGCTGCAGACTTGTAAATGGTCTCACAAAATATGATCATACTCGTATATCGAATGCAATTAATGAACTCTAATGGATAAAAATTGATAAAATGTATAAGTACCAGCTCCTAAATCTGACTCATAAGGTTCTTTATTCAAAAACGATGTCATATTTAGTGAACACATTCATACGTAGAGGGAATATGCATGGTATTAATATTATATATAGAGAGACTTTTTCAATTCCACGCCACAGTACATGTCTATTTCAGAATACATACATTTACAATGCGATCAAATCATATAATTCTTTAGACCGCAGTTTAAAAGAAACCAATCCATTATCCAAATTCGAAAAAAAAGTGACAAGAATTCTACTTGATCAGCAGCGAAATCTGTTGTGACCCATAAGTGTCCTCATATTTTCCTTATGCCTTTACTTGGAGTATATTTCATTCTGTCGTTATTGTATACAGGTGCTCATTAATTTTCAACAATTTCTTTTTGTTTTCATCTCGTATTGTTTAGATGGTAGAATAGATGTATTATCTAAATCTCGCCTCCTGTAAGAATATTACAAATAAAAGACGTTTATTATTATTATTATTATTATTATAATAATTATTATTATTAGAATAAGTGGCTCATTTAGGATTTTGCTTGGATTCCGGATTATATATACAGTCGGAGACAATTTGCTTTTCAAGGACTTCACGCGTGGCTGCCAATTTAGCCTTCAGTCTATAATTATTCGTAGTATTTCACATTATCTACAGCGCGGCTGCAATGATTGCGCCAAAAATATTATTTTTTGGGTTCTGCTCTGATTCAATTTTAGATAATTTTTAGTAAACCGAGGCCCATTCTTTGATTTACTGTATGTCATCCTTGCGTCTAGTGTGCTGCTAATTAAAATGGTGTCATCAGCATAACATACAGCTTTGTTGGGTAGCATGCAGTTAAACAAGTCATTAATGTAAGTTATAGAGAGCACAGGCCCGAAGACAGTGCCCTGGGGCACTCCGCTCTTCACAACTGTCATATCTAAATTGTCATTTCGTAGGTAGACAAATCTTCTGAATTCCAGATTGGACTGAAGTATTTTCTCCGGAAGACATCTTACACCATATTTGGATAACTTTTCAAGCAGGAGCTCACGTAAAAGGCCCGCGATTATGGCTTCCGACCCTGCCTACCCCTTGAACCATCGCATTTCATATTTCTCGAAATACTGAATCAGACTCTTATTTTAATTATGAATTTAAATGTTTTTCCATTAAATGGAAGTATAGGTGTTGGGCTATGATTTTCTGGTAGATTTGTATCATATAATTTGAATACATGCACTAATGTGGATATTTTGAGTAATCCGTGAACAAACTACAGGTAATACATGCTTCAAAAAGTGCGAGAGCGGCACATTTAGTAGAGAACTGAGCTGTTGGAATGTTTCACATACTCAATAGTATCTTTCATATGCTCTCTTGGACAGGCAAGAGTACAAAAGAATTTGGGACGCAAGGTATTTATTAGGTGTCTTGAAGGTCAATATTTATAGGATGATCTTTCATAACTTCTGTTGCTATGGATAGAAAAAACTGTTTCTTTTGACGACAGGCTGTTGATCTGGTTAGTAATAACCTTATGTTTATGTTGTTCTGAATTAGTGGTACTCCAAACAAACTGTTATGCTATATTCGATAAAATTTTACTTAGTACTCAAATTTGCACGGTGTAAATAATGATAGAACCATGTTAAACTAAATTTTTAGAAATATTTATCTATACACTGTTCTAACTGTCAGTTGACACCTTGTACAGTCAATCTTTTAAGAATAATCGCAAATAATTCATCAAACATGGTTATATCTCTAAGTTGTTTGTTATATTCAGAGATTCTAATGCAAGATAGTCTTGGTGTTGAATAAAATTGCCCAGTTTTAACTCAGAAAAT